CCAGCAATGAATTCCGGGCTTGACACACACCAGTCACAACGCGCATGTGGGCTGACAGCAGGCCTCCAGTGTTGCGCATGTGCGGCAGCGAGAAAAGCAAATGCAGAAACACGTCGTCAGGCAACTGCTCACGGTCAGCAGCTCTTAGCCCACACAAGCGGGAACGGCGTCTCCATGCCGGTCGCCACGGCACAAAGGGGGCGCTACAGCGAAGAGCGTGAACAATGATCTTTTTACCAAACAGCTGCTCCACATAGACATTGCTGGACGTGAGACCTGTGGCCTCACGAACTATATACGTGGACACACGTGGATTATGAAAATTTGGAATCGTTTGGACAGACATTCAATTTAGCCTGGGATGACATTCAGCGAAAAACGAAGCGACGGCACAGCGACAGCTACAGTACCTCATGCTTGGCCCAAATCGCCAGTGGGAAGCGAGTGCTGGCAGGCCCGGCTGTGGCCGCCGCACGACTGTCATCGGCGACCACCATTTCACATGTGTTGCATTGGGCTTCTATAGCCGGAACGGTGGTCCGTATCTTGGGCGGCATGACGGCGCCATGATGCTGTGATGAAACGTTTTGCGTCCTTCGAAAGACCGTCGGAACGCGGATGCGGGGTTGCTTAGCGCTAGGCGCCTGAACGCTTTCCCTGCGCACCCCTCAAAGCCAAGCATGTATAAGAGTTACTTGCGACAAGGAGCGCAACGGATCCGCGTGTGATTCGCGAAGGCGCCCGGGTGCTGATCGACAGGAGGATCATCCACACCACGTGAAATGAAACGTGCCACCCCCCCCAGTAGAACTCCGCAGGCAAAACCATTGGCTTTCGCTTCCGCCCTTCCAAATCCGTTGGCGTTCAACTCGGGATTCCAAACAACCATGCGTGACACATAACCACTGGTGTTGCGCCTGGTCTCTGCCTGGTCTTGTCCTGCATTTTCATCCCACCAACCATGCATCGCAGCATCCGCCTTTGAATGGATTCACGTTTGGATAGCTGCACGGCAGTGAAGGCCAACGCGTGTAAGTCAGACAGCATGGAGACACGCGTGTTGACCAGGACGCCGATGCCGATAAAATGTGCTCCATGCTAACTGGATTCGATGGTTGCTGAACAGCTCAACGCGTGTCTGGCCGCGCATGCGTCGTCCCAGAACAACTACTTGTGTGTCTGATCGTTCGTGAGTGTTTCCACTATGTCGCCACACCCCACCACAAAACAGCGGATTAGTGTAAGCAGTGCCTGAGTTGCCAGAGTAATCGTCTTAGACTTGTCCAACTGGTGTGCAGTTGAACCATGGTGGACCCAATACGGAAATCAGATCCTCCAGCGATTTGGCAATGTTTGGATATATTTGGCATATAGCGACATGTCACATTCAGACCAGATGTCTGCCAAACACCCCACCAACATCATCAGCAACGTCCAACCATGATCAACCCATGCTCTGCGAAAATCTGCCGGCTCAGGGCCTGCGTTGAAAAGTGGAGAAAACATGAGAAAACGTCTTGCTGTCGAGCAGCCGTAACAGCTTTTCCATCAGGGCATTGGAGCTTGTAACATGACTGCAAAACAGGCAACCTCACAAACGGCATGGTCCCTGTTGCGCAATCGTTTTGCAGCACCCTGTCGTCAGATGCGAAAATTCGCACGGCACGAAGAGGCCGAGATGGTCGCACATGCATAAATTTGCAGACCACAGCATGAATGTAGGGGTTGACCTCACCGAAGAATACCGCGGAGGCGCTGTCGCGGACAGGATAACAGCACAGACACATAACATCATTCAGCATGTCTAACTCGAATTTGTAATGGAAACTTGTGCGTGACATTGCGTGACGGTCGACCAGCACAAACCTCCGTGACGCAGTTCATGCCAACGAGGAAATGGCTATAGCGCAGTGAGCCCTAAGCATCGCCCGGTTGAAAAAAAGGATTTCGCATGAAACTACCAATCGAAGCTGCGGCGCTTGAAAATACCCTTTTGCGATTGGCTATCGGACCCACTGGGAATCGGATGGGGTGCCATTTTCTCCTCTATAGGTTCTCCGTTTGGTTTTTATCAGCGATTCCGCAAGGTTTTAATCAACGATTCCGCTTGGATTCCCGTGCTCAGCACACAAAAAACGTCGAACCCAACCTCAGATCCTGAAGCACACACGGTTTTTCACAGAAATTCACAGATCCTCACAGACGCCTGTGAAGATCTTTGACCTGTGAAACCTGTGCAAACCAGAAATCGCAGGCTTCAAGCCCGCCCAAACACCCGTGCTCGTGGATGCTCCGTTTGAATTGTGCTCCATTCTCCTATGGGTTCCCTGCTAGGTTTTTGTTTCGCTTGGTTTTCCGCGAAAACTAGCGGATCCGCTTGAAAATAACAATCGGACGCAATCCGCTTGAACCTACCAGCCGTTACCAGCCGAATCCGCTTTTTGTCGGCCGATGGATAGGGAGGTCAGAAGGAGCACTGATTTCATGTCGGCGGTCGCTTGAGCGAATGCCCGAGTATACCTGGCCCTAGCTCTAGCACGGTTGACCGCATATTGGGCGAGCTTGACGGCGGAATGAGAGGCATCGCAACTGGCGATGTGTGTCGCCGTGTCGCGTGCTTTAGCTTAGCAATGGAGTTCGCTCTGCAAGCACGGGCGGGTACTGACGGTTACTGACGCATACCAACGCAGTGGCCGCCCACGTGCGGACGGCGCTCGAGTTTTGCCACGAAGCGGTCCTCAGCGGAGTGCATATATGATAACATGTCCCGACCATGAGTTTTTGCTGGCCTGCAAGACACCGCGCCGGCGCTGCTCCCTGTCGTGCGGTTGCTTCGCAGCCAACCGATGCCGCGATGCCGGATCATCTCGCAAGGCGACCACTGCAAGTAAGGGGACCCGTTGGCCCCGGCCCCGTATGGACAGCTGGCATTCCTATCGATCTGTATGTCCTGACTAATTACGCGGGACAGGCGCGACACAGTTGTCGAGATCGTGCGGAAGGAATGTGGCATCGCTTCAGCATCATTTAAAAAACGCGTGTATACAGCTGTGCTGAAGGGCCGCCTTCCCCCCCCCCACCCCCGCATCGACGCACTCGGGGCGGGTGTATGGCAAGGGGACAAGACAAACCTCCCGCAGAGCAAGGCTCCATGCGAAGTGGATCGTAGGCGGAACAACGACTGCAGCTCCCCGTGCCGTGCCTTCATTTGTTTATAACGGCCGGCCCAGCTTTGCCTCGGCTGCATTTCCCCAAACAACGTTCAAGGCATTCGAGACTTAAGGCTTGGCGTGCTGCTTTGCGACCCGCGACGAAGCACCATTATGCGCCGCTGCGCAGGGTTGGCGAAGGCCCGCGTGCCAAGGTCGCATCACAACACAGTCCCCCGCCGACATCAGCAGGGACCCTGCTGCAGTGGTGTGCGTACGCCTTTGCTGGGGAACCACCTGCCCCTTCCCGACGGCCTCCCGTGCCACGCGCACCCATGCTTGTTCAATGATTTTCGCCCTGCAGTTCAGTAAACGGTGCAAGCACATGCACGTCTGCTCCGCAGCCAGGCGGGCCGCAGAGACATTGGCGGAGAGGCAAGGGCAAGGGCAGGCGCAAACGGCGGTGGGGCCAGCTGCACGTCTTGGCGTGGTGGTGTTGTGGCGGCTCGCTTGGTCTGGCGGTCAGCCATGCTCCTGCTTCGGCCAACTTGTGATCGGAGGCACGGTCGGCCGGCGTTATGGAAGGCAGAGAAATGCATTTGCGAAGTACTGTGTGGTTGCGAGCGCGCGATGCAAGATGTTGCCAGCCATGCGGCCAGGCCCCTGACGACTTCGTCACAGAAAGGGCATTCTTGCCAACCTTCGCCCTTTTGCAACAGTTGGCGTGCCTCCGCCGCTGTCTGGAGACCAGATGCGGGATCCCCCGCCGTGGCGAGGTGGCGCGCGGACAGCAGCGGTCCGGGTCGGGAGTTCGGGACCTCGTACGCGTCCGCGCCGAGTGTGCTCCACCAGCGCTGGTGGGCTGTGCTCTCGGTCTCCGTGCGGCTGTGACCAGCACAGCGGGGTCGGCTTGCCCCGAACAAGGCCCGGAGCTCGACCGGATCCTCGACCTCGCTGAGGCCGCACGGCCCAGCCGGCTGCCTCTGCCAGTCTGCGCAGCATGTAGTCAATGTAGTCCGGAAGACAACGACGGAAGCTCAACATCCTGCGAACAATGCTGCTTTTCAAGGCCAGCGAAGTTGGATTGAAACTCTGCGCCAACAGTTCAACATGCAGTCAAACAAGAGGCCAAATGCAGAACTGTTCAGAACTCGGAACTACTTTCCACCATCGGTTGTGCAACCATCCCCACAGACTGCGCATCACAACTCTCACAGATGTCTCGTGCCCCCGGGAGATCGAGAAGCGTGCGTGGGTTAACTAGGTAAAATAAGGGGCCTGAATGATCAGAATAGGCTTTTGGGGCCCATCATCCTACATAATTTAAGGAAACCCTAGAATAGTATGGATAATCACTATAAGGCCCTTAACTTGATCAAGTTGTCGAGATGCCCTGTTGCAATCTAAGACTTTAAGAGTAACGGAACAAATAACAATCGTACATCCGTGGCTGCTCTGAGCATGACTTCTATGATTCCCAGATGACACAGCACTTGCTTCAGAGTGAGCAGCATTCGGGAGTTTCCGAAGATAGGGGACCCCAATATAGTACCCTAAATAGTAGGACCCTTATTATAAGGACCCCCAAATAAGGTACCCCCTTCGGAAACTCTCATTCATGCCCATGGCTTTTTTTCGCCCCCTTGCACCATCTGCTCCGAAGCTCTCCCACCGCAAAGGTGGGCCAATGCTTACCTAAGACCTACAAGGGGGATCAAGGGGGTGTCTGCGCATCAAGCAAGCTGCCGCCCGGGAACCGGAAGGGGCATAGCTCCGAGTTGTTAGCTGTTAGCAGTGCAGGAACGGGTAGGCGATTGAACCTTGAACCCCCTAAAACCACGAAGCGCGAGCTCAGCGTGCAGCGAATGCTATCTGGACGGCCTGTCCGCGAGAAGGCATCTGCCCCGTGCCAAAAACTAGGCTATTCTTATGAACAAGTGCCGGAGCATGACAGCCAGTTTTCGTCGCATGGCACAAGTCAAACGGTACATTGTAGTCAGTGCAGCACGGCGAGCAAAGCCAAGCTGCAAAAGAGTGGATGCTTGCCACTGACAAGGTCTCGAATCTCACACACCCGACCTTGGGAAGTTCTTCCATGATGGGCTGGAAGTCGTACTCAATCGACATGAGAGCCTCCAACGAGGCAATGTCGCTCTGGGAATCGTCAACTCCAGAACAAGTGTTCACCAGAGTGCACGGCAGTATGCTGAAGTGAAGCTCAGTTCACTCTTCCACTGCATGACGCATTCACCAACCTCCGACTGCTTCTTAGCCAGGAATTGGGGAATGGGTTGTTGGGACTACTGTAGGGGACCTTAATGGACTATCATAAGGATCCATTTCCCCGTTCCCTAATATAGGAGCCTTGATATCCCCTAATATAGGAAACTTGATAATTGCAACAAGGTTTCGGACCCCACTATACTACAACTATAATAAGGAGCCCCCCGAAATAGTATGGATAATTTTTTAGGCCCCTATACAGTAGAAGCCCAAAAGTTGGAAACCCAATAGCCTAAGTCCTTAAGAGTAATGTATAGGGAATCCCAGCGCTATTTGGCCTTTTTATCCGGCTTCCAACTTTATGGGGTTTACTGTAAACCCTGAACCATAAACCCTATCATAGATCCCTTTAGAGGAACCCTTGTAGATCCCTTTAAAGAAACCCTTATAGATCCCCGTTTACTGTATTACTAAGAACCAGAGAGACCTCCCGACCTCGCTGGCGTTGACTCCGGCCGGACCACTCTTCAGCAACTCCTCGAGGTAGGGGACGACAAGGACCCGTTTAGGGTTTAGGGATTAGGGTTTAGGGATTGGGGTTTAGGGCTTAGGGTTTAGGGATTCGGGTTTAGGGCTTAGGGTTTAGGGTTTTAGGGTTTAGGGTTTTAGGGATTCGGTTTTTTTTTAAGTGCAATGACCCCTTTCCCACTCCGCACGCAGTGCAGGTCTTGAGCCCGCCTCCTCGGCATACACTACAGATACAGACAGCCCGCACCCAGAAGCACATACGGCAGACTGAGGCGACCACCAGAAAAGTAAATCCTACATGTCTCGGCGGATTCGGGTTTAGGGTTTAGGGTTAAGGTTTAAAGGTTCAGGGTCTAGGAGGGACATTTACACCGGCAGATCAGAAATCTGAAGCCATGTAACAGAATTTCCCCTTGGAAGATGGATTCCCATGCCAAAGACAGGATGACTCGAGGTCGGGGTCACAAAAAATGGAGGGCCTCGGGACTCTGGGGACAAAACCCGCAAGTCCAGGAATCTGTGGTCTTTTAAATAAGGCTTAAGGTACCCCTCTCGAAGAGCCCCTTGCAAGCTTACGGAAAACTGCAGCCTCGTTCAACCACTTCGCAGAGCGCACATGGCAGACGGTGTTGGCCTCCCTGACAGGGAGTTGGGCACTGGACCGAGCTCCTCAAAGTCCAAATGCGTGAAGCCCAGGGTCCCTTTCGAATAAATTTTAAAAAAATTGGGATCGAGACTCCATCTCCGTACAATTATGATGTGCTGAAGGAAGTTTCTACATGGCCTCAAGCTTTCAGCTATTCTGTGCAGGGTTGTCTCGAAGAGTTCGAGATCTCTGTAGATGAAGGGGGACTCAGGATTTGACTGAGCCACTGCTGGTTACAAACACTGCACGAACACATCCTGCTGCAGACCGTGGTAACAGGTTTGATGGAATCTGGATCTGAACCCCAAACAAAGAAGACATGTCGAAGTCAGCAGCGAAAGTCCAGTTCGTGCTTTCAGCTATTTAATATAGGGGCCTTAGAATAATTAGAGTAGAGCTTTGGAGCCCGTTATACGATAATTACAATAAGGAACCCCTAAAATGGTAATGGTAATTATTCAGGCGCCTATAGTGTTCCCCACTGTCGCCAGGTACACCTGGCACGTAAGAGCCCTTCACTGAAGTGGCAAAGGCTCCGCACCTCGCCAAATTCACATCCTCCGTGACCAAGATCTGCCGCCGAGGATAAGGCCGCATCAGCATGTCCAGCATGTACCTCGGTTCAAGTTACAAGTGGCATTATAAACAGGATAACCGTAGTTATAATCCATATTTTGGGACTTAAAGCCCTAAACTTTTCGAGGGGGGTCCTTCGCGGGTTTGGGCGAACACCTCCATGAACAACACCCGTCACAAATGCTTTGCTTCTGTCTTTGCGAAGCTTCTCCAACAAGCCCCCCTCGGCTGCACCCCCCTCCCCCGCCGCCTAGAGTTACAATGCCCCGCCCGAAGAATGGGATCCTAGACAGCCTTCTTGTGCTGTGTGTATATGTGCCTCCGTCACCCAATAACGCTGAGCTAGTCAGCTTCTTAATTAACGAGGATCTGCAGTGGTAGATGTTGGCACCTCGGATGGCACCCTGAAGGTCACATAATCTCCCGATCGCAGCGATAACTTTCGCGGGCGCTCGTGTCGACGTAGGACTGCGAAAACCTGGCGCGGCAGGGCGCATCTTCGTCAGGCTTCATAAAGCCATGTTGTGCCATGTTGCTAATTGTAGGATTTGATGCAAGGTCAGTGCATCTAGGGCAGCAGGAGTCTGATTGGATGCAACCAACTCGGAAGCACGTCCTGTGCATAAGCATCTCTCTAAACTGGACAGCCAAAGTTCTAGGTTCACCTTTTTCCATGCCCGCTCCGCGCAGATGCTGCTGCGGCAAGGGGGCGCTTGATGGTCATCAAGCTGTAGCCGTGTCTCATCACAGGACATCGCTCTGGGGGGGTGTAGGAGATCAGTGTTTTCAGCGTTTAGCCAGCAACCTACATAACCTCTGCTTTTAAGTTCGTCAAGTGCTTCTTTCCGCGAGGCATTCTGTTCGTGGACTGCCTGGAGGATATGGACCATGCAGACAGAAGCGATGGTGCGCCCTGTCCGGGCCCATCATGAAGTTACCGAGGCTATGAGGCTTCCAAGCTCTAGAATCGGGGTTGTGGGGCTGAAGGTTCGCGGTTCCGGGGTTTAGGCCCTTAAACGTTCTGGAACTAAGAGTTTAGAGCTTTGCACTGCTGAGTTCGGCTTATGGGTTTACAGTAGAGTTTGAGGATCAGGTGTTCTACTTACGATCTCTTAATTCACTTGCTCTCGCTGTAATCTTATAACAAAGCTCTGAGAAAACTCGTGATGTAGGGGCCTCAATAATTGGAATGAGTATTTCCTTACTATAGTTATTGTGTAGAATACGCCCAGTTTTGAGCCTGGGACTTCGTCTCTAAACACAAAGAAAAACGGGTGGGGAGGCCAAGAGCAGCCACGGGCGGGCAGGACTGTCCGACTGTAAGCAGAAGACAACCCAAAAAGCTCTTGGTTTATGGTATCTATATATAAAATATGTAATATATATAGTATAATATTATATACTTTAATTGAATATTTTATACTATAATATTATATCATATATTATAATATATATATATATATATATATATATATATATATTACTCGTTTTGAGGACTGTACCCGAAAGCGCTCATCAAGGATCTTAAGGCATATCGAACGAATAAAACAGCATAGACTACTTGAGTCAGTATACTACTTTGCTCAAGGATTTCTGGTTTCCTTGGTACCAAACCGGCTTCCAGCATACTCACAAGTGAGCCGTCAGGAAAACTCTTGGACTAAAGAAGTGCGACCTCGCAATCCTCAAGCACCTCCATCACGCTGCCAGAAGACTACAACTCGAGATGTTACCGCCAGACCTGGTCCCATGCCGCCCCTAAAGCCCCCACTTCCAACACCAAGCTGCAATCTCTTCGAGATTGCCTTGGCAACAGCCAGAAGGGCCGAAGAAAGAGTGTCACTGTCCGGATCGGTGTGTATTTTGGATCCGAGACATGGCTCCAGCACCATCCCGGCAGTTTGCGGCAGAGCCGCGGAGGTCATCGGCTACCGAAACTGAATGAAGGCAATGAAAGCACGGACTTCTAGCGCACATAATTGGCATAATTGGGTATAACCCTAAACCCTAAACCCCAAAACCTATAGCTCATACGACAACGATCCTGCACAGGTAACTTCATAACGGGCACGGAGGACTTCGTTGCAAGGCCAAGGACAGCATGCTTTGGTTCTTGCAGGGCTGTTTTTCCGCTCCGGATGAGGCTTTAAAGGGATCCTTAAAAGGGGTCTATAAGGGATCTATAAGGGTACTATAGAGGGGTCTATAAGGGATCTATAAGGGTACTATAGTATAGGGGCCTGGACAATTACATATATATATATATATACATGTGTATATATATATATGTATATATGTACATATACACGTATCTTTACTGGCAAAAGTGTAGTAACAATAAACGCGATAAGAAGAACATAGCCACTTGTACTGATGGTAAACTGTAACCAATACTACTCAAACACCAACCCAAAGGCTCCATGTAGCCATATAGTCTATACTTATGCCCTAAAGTACCCACATAGGAACCCCTTTAAGCCCTAAGCATATACTATATGGGCACATGGAGCCTTAGGGCAATAGTACCCAGGTACATGCCGGAATGATGAAACCACGAAGTCAAGTCTCGAGACTAGGTGCACTGTAGATCGGGGTTGACTCAAGGAATGGCTGCTCTCTCCTGCAGAATAGTGTAGGGGCCATATAATCATTGCAATGAGGTTTTGGGGCCCATTGTACTATAACCATAATAAGGAATCCCCAAAATAGTCTAAGCAATTAATTTAGGCCCTTATATTAGTTCTCAGACCAACCATTCTTGAGAACGCTCCGATCACGATTCGCCGCCGAGATCTGCAAGATTAATGTAAACATTTGCGCACCTGCATGCTTCTAGAAACAGGGTCGAGAGACGTGTGGCTGCCTACATAACCAAGGCCAAGAGGATCCTGCCTCTAGGGTTTAGGGTTCTCCACCTGGGGCATGAAGTTGGCCCAGGTTGCAAAGATGCTCACTGCAGGGTTTTCTCAGTTTATGATACGACAGGATGGCAGCTTTAGCAAGCCACGGGTTAGTATTAACTAGTACAACTGGCATGTAGTACAGAATCAAAACAGCACATGCTACACGGGTGACATGGCTTTTCAGGGCCACAGGCTCAGCACGTAGTCATTGCGGGCATGCTGCTCAAGACACAAGATCCGAACAGGAAGCGATGAACGGATTCCAAGTTGGCAGGGCCATGACCGGAGCTACTAGCAAAAAGTAATCACCATCGGAATAGTGAGTAATACTAGTGACAAGTGCAAAAACAGGAAACATACTTGCAATTGCCAGTAACAGTAGTCTTAGTGCTTATTATCGTAGTGACAGCTTGATCCGTAGGAAAACGGTCCGGAAACACACAGGTGTCGACCGGCGCCGGCGATTTCAATCACTTGGTGTTTGCCAACAATTGCACCAGCGCAGCTTGAAACTCCATGTTCCGAAAACCCTGTTCGGGCAGATTAGGCCTGCTTGGAGAAACACCATATCCATGCAGATTCGTGCATCAGCATAAGCACCCGCCACGGCATTCGATCTACTATTACTATTACTATTGCTAGTACTATTACTCTTACCCTTGCTCTTACTACTACTACTACTACTACTACTACTACTACTACTACTACTACTACTACTACTGCTGATGCCTGAAGCCCTCCCTTGTGTAAAGGTCAGTGAGTGGAGCTTGCTGTACGATCAGGATCCTTCGTTGTCAAGCGGATGGCTCAAGGAGCCGTGCCAAGATCGGCAGAAGCCTGTCTTACGATGACAGATGTGCCATGATCGGCAAAAGCCAGCAGCATGAGCACAGTCATATCGACTAGCCTAAGGTGTGCACAGAAGCCCTTAGGACAACATGTGCCGTGTGTGTGTGAAAAGTTGAGGGTTGCGCCCGCGTTTGATGGTCTGGGGATTCCTTCGGGGATCATCCGATAAAATTCGGAACGATACTGAGGCGTCGTCGCATGGCCTTAGCACCTTCAGCTGAAGAGTCGGACGATCGTGCTCTTCAGGTGATGAGCCCAAGCGCTACTGCTGGGCGAGATACGACTCCGCAGCAAGCTGAGGTGATGGAAGGCTCTCATGGAGCACTGCCCAACGGGGTGCCTCCGAGAGAGCTTCAGCCAGCGATGAGTGAATCCAGACCTGGAGCAGGTGAGATAATCCCTTCAACTGTCGACGATTTTCTTTCCAGCGAGAGGGCTGGGGGAAGATCGGCAGCAGCTGATCTGACTGAGGTGGTGGCCGCTGGAAGTGCTCAGGTGACAGGACCTGGCAGTCAAGTAGCGAGTGGCCAGGCTTCAGTTGCTGCAACAATGGCTCTGGAAGATGGGAGTGTGCAGGCAGTGAGAGCAAATGTGGAGGTTCAGCAGGGATCTTCATCGTTGACGGTTGTGCGTTGGATTTCGCGATTGAACGACTTTCTGACCAACCAAGGACAGACTGTGTTGGGTTCGGTTGGGTTAAATACGACGCCTACTCAGGGGCCCCGACATTCAAGAACCACACAGCCAGCACTCACGCAAGCAGCAACACCCACTAGAACGCACCAGCAGCCGGCAGCAGCAGCAGCCAGATCAACTCAAGGTTCTCCACTGGGGTTTTCTCCGCCTGAAGATTTCCCTCAAGGAAGTGGTTGGACGCCGCCGCCGGAGTTTCAGCAGAACTACGATGCTCCTCTTTTTTCGCGTGAAGCTTGGGAGCAGATGATGAGGTTCTCGCAGAGGGCTCCGTGGCTGTATGGACGCAGTGGTTACTCTCAGGGTGAATCCACGGGCTCGTCGGAAATTCAGGTGGAGGTACAGCGACAGATGGAGATCATGATGAGAAGTCAGTCTCGGCAAATGGAAGAGATGCGAGAAGAGCTTCAGTACCTTCGTGCGGAAAGGGCAAGAGTGCTTGAAAGGGTGGCTTGGAGCCAAGACGGGCTTCGAGGGGATCAAGGTGATCCTCGTGGGTCTAGAGTGCCAGCAGAAGGAAACGATGGTCGTCGGCATCAAGGTGATCCTCGTGGCTTTGAAGGGCGAGCAGAAGGAAACGATGGTCCTCGGCATCAAGGTGATCCTCGTGGCTTTAGAGTGCCAGCAGAAGGACACGATGGTCGTCGGCATCAAGGTGATCCTCGTGGCCTTGAAGTGCGAGCAGAAGGAGATGATGGTCGTCGGCATCAAGGTGATCCTCGTGGCTTTAGTTTACCAGCAGAAGGAGACGATGGTCGTCGGCATCAAGGTGATCCTCGTGGCCTTAGTCTACCAGCAGAAGGAGACGATGGTCGTCGGCATCAAGGTGATCCTCGTGGTGGAAATGTGCCTAGCCAGTCAGTCGGTGGTCTACAAGTGCCTAGCCAGTCAGTCGGTGGTCTACAAGTGCCTAGCCAGTCAGTTGGGACTTCTTTTCTCCGTGAAGGTCAAGCGCAAGTCGGGCCTACAGACGGTGCCCAGAATGCGCCGCCAGGACTCAGTCGGGAGCTTCCAGTACATGAGCCTCGGGAAGTCAGAGATGTCAGGCCACGTGTGGGTGAGCTTCAGGGACCAGCGGGGCCTCCGACAGTATACGGGCCTAGCATCAGCGCAACAAGGTGTGAATCACTGGGAACAGGACATGCCGCTGCCGCTGAAAGGGGAGAACATGATCCACTACCACCGAGGCCTGAGGACAGACCTACTGCAACGATGACTGCGAGCGAGCGC